TGTGTGTGTGTGTGTGTGTGTGTGTGTGTACTTTGATGTAAATATCATAAAAACAGGTCATTAGGTAGAGGAGGTTAAATCCATGTATTAGTGTAGTGTGGATAGTTACAACAGAATGAACAAATTCCATTATCCATAATAACTATAAGTCCATTACATACCAAGATGACAACGCAGGCGTGTATTAGTGGGTCCATATGTGCTTCCCAAAGTTGCTCCAGGGCCCAGCAGCCAAAATCCTGCTGATCCCAATGAGTTGCTGTTTATAAAAGTACGTAAAGACAGAAGTGTCCGGTAGGTGCAGGGACAGGCACGGCAGTTTCCTGCCACAGAGACACCAGCGCTGTACAAAGGAAACACAGCTTGGCCCTGAAAAAGATAAAAGTCCATGTTTAACATTTGATACAGATCTCTTTTTTTTTTCTAACAGTTCCGATCACAAGCTTACATCCACTCATCGTGGGCATGAAGTCATGGTAATTTGGGGATTTTAATGATTTCTTGGAACTGTTCTTTTTCCAGTGTGGGATGATTTTACAGCACACATCTTTAATTGCTTTAGAAAACAAGAACTGGGTCCACTCATTTCAATTTATTTTGGATTTTATCTAATCCACACAAAAGTATGCATACGGGCTCAAATATATACAAATCTTATTATGCACTGATGTGCAACTTGATTTAAACAAATTTCACTTTTACTCTGAGGCTGTCAGCATACTTTTTATGCTGTGAATTAGAGAAGATCCAAAATAAATTCAAGCTTGTGCACCCAGTTCTTGTTTTTTTAAGTCATTAAACATGTATGCTGTACAAACATGGCACCCTGGGAAAAGGACAGTTCAGATAAATCATTAAAGGTTCCAAATTAACATGACATTCATGTCTTTGACGAGAGTAAACTAGAGACCACCACTGTACATTATGAGTCAAAAAAAAGAAGAAAACAGTGACTTGCCAAGTTCTTTCCATGGTATTTTGAATGACAGGTAATTATTTTTGGATGGTGCATTATATCACTTTCTCCCAGTTGGCCTGAAGGATTTTATTGCATACCTTTGGTCCTACACAGGTCCAGCCTAATTTTGAGTCAATGCCCTTCTGGTAAACAGCCTGGAATTCAGCCAAGATCGCAGGGTAGTTGGCTTCCAAGACTTCAATGTCATGTCGATGAGCGTCACGTGGGAAGAAAGGCACACTTGGAACATCTGGCAGGAAGAAGAGATGAGGCTTCTGTATAGCAGAGTGATCATTCAGTCTGACCTAAAGTGAGACAAATGAAAAAGCTGTCATTATTTCTTGGCAGAGTTTTCTTTTGGTTTTTTTGGCTTCAACAATGCAGCTGTAAATCTTAAACCATTGTGGAACAACTCTTGCAGTCCACTTGGAAGCATACCTGCTCGCGGAGGCCCTTATGAATGCGACCCATGCCCACCCAACTGTAGCGTTTGGCATACTGCTGCAGGGCTGTGTACAACTTCTTGGCTTCTGCAGATGCCTGGGCAGGGAACAAGGCATGACTCAGCACTGGGGTGAGGTAGCCCTGTCCCTGCTCATCGTCTTCCACTGTTTCCATGGAAATAAAGGGACTAATTTGATCGCTCCTGGACAGCTTGGATCGTGCACTGCACTTTGTTCCAATACAGCTACCGCTACGGGACATCATGGACCTCCTTGAGCTTGACTTGAGCTTTCCAGCATGCGCATGGCCTGGGATTGGCAGATCGGAGCCCATCCGATAACAGTGCCAAAGAAACAAAAGCAGTAGAGTCCACAGAAGGCCGCTCAGTGAGTGTACACCCAGCTCCATATACGGAGTCAAGGGAAGCGTGTTCATTGACCAGTGCATCCTTTAATTTTGGGAGACACTGAAATAATAAAATAGAAACAGTCTGAGAGATAATACAGCATGTGTAATTTGGCAAAGTTCTATAAAATACTTTACTTCTTTTATGAATTTAAGGAGTTTTACAGATGCCATCACACTTGCACTTTTTGCATGGTTATGTTTTTAATGAAAGTGGATTCATGTATTTTTTTTTAATTTATGGAACAAAACAACAAGAATATTTTTCCCACAGGTCTGTTTTGCTTGCAGTCCAAAGCAAACAAAAGACCGTCCGTGCCCAACCTATTTTCTTTATCGTAATCCCTGTTCAGCGCCATGGGGATTGAGGTCGATGTCAGAGTGGACTTGAGAGTGAACATGTTGCTTTGGATCACTGGGTCACTTACCCACCCCCTTTTTTTAAGTTGGAGGCTGACATGGTGTTACATAAGACCTGATCTGTGACCCAAACTAGCTGTGGATTTCACTGCAGGCTGTAGGCACATTAAGGTCTTGTGACTACAACGTTTAGCTTTTACTTTGAATTCACAGAACTTTTGAAACATTTTTTTTTGTATTTTTAATATTTTTGTCCTGCTGCACAAACCCACTGCTGTACACTATATAGTATATTATCTATTAGTTAAAATATTAGTATTGCATGACTAGTGCAACTGTTGCACTTGGCTTTTGGGTTATATACGTGTGTGTGTGTGTGTGTGTGTGTGTGTGTGTGTGTGTGTGTCTTTAGAAGATTCAGTAAACAAAGTGTCGGGGTTTGGTCATATTTCTGCACATTCGTTTAGCCGTCACATGTAGTGGAAGCACCCCGTGCTGCAGCACAGACACACACCATAAATGTGTTTCATGATTTGTGGGTGATTATCTTGCGCATGCTTCAGCATACATTTTTGTTTTTTTTGGTTTTTTGTTTTTTTTTGCTCTGCACCAGCCCCCACAGCTCAGCTGGCTTGTTTACTGCCCGTGTTCCATGTTGGAGCAAACATCCACCCATTCCAAGAATCGGCGGCTGAAAATGTTCGCCATGCACACGGTACGACACATGCAGGCCTTTAAATGAATAAACATACACTATTTACCGTGCCGCTTTTCCCGTCCCTGTCAGATTACCTTGATAAAGGCTACAACGCAGCGCTGTGTCGGGACGCACTTCAGCACCGCGTCGGTGGACAGCTCCTCCACCCCTGACAGACAAAATGTGGTGAGGAGCTTCGCGGCGCTCTGCAGTTACAGCGTTTCGCCGCTAGGGTGCACCTGGCGCTTCAACGCAAATGCCCTCACATCATAGCCGAATGCGTCAACCACACGGTAACCAGCCAGGGGCATCTCACCAGCGCAAAGCCCGCCGTATTTCGGCCTAAAGCAACAGGATACTCGCCAGGATAAAGAATACTTAAACGCCGCCTGGAAGACAAAGGTAAGTGGTAGGCACGTTTAAGCGCTGCTGAGATGGTTGCTGGTCTCACGGTAGCGATGACTGGTGTCAAAAATCGTCCTCCGCACAAAAGAGGGCCGAGGGAGGTGCGAGAGAAGCTGCCTCGCAGAGCCCCATCATTTTGTCACACACCAAGCTGGCATTTTCACCGAAGGAAACGCCTCGAATAGCAAGAGGAGGTTATTTTTTTCCTTTTTTCCTCTTTTTTTTTACACATTGCAGTGAACAGGTATCGTGGGCAAGCAGCGATCACAGGCTCGCTCGCTTTTTTGGAATAGCGCATTTTCGGCATGTTGTTGCAGATTTGAATGAGAAAATGCAGAGGGAAGGCTGAATATTTAACCTTATACCTTGTGCGACGTGTGGGCCTACCTGGTTTATTTCGTCTCCACATCAACACCTGTAACAACAGCCTTTAATAAATAGACATTTACGCTTCTACGTTTTATAAAACGAAATGGCTTTTGAGATGAGATTTTACGGTATCGCGGTGATGTTCCGATCCGAGTGGCCTGTGATGTAAACATGTGCTGAATTGCGACCGACTTTGCTGTGATTAACAATTTGTTATTCATTACCACTCCTGCGGATTAAGCCTCCTGCAGCCATCATAAGCTATTAATAATCATTACAGTAACCTACAAAATGCAGCCGCCTAATTACATGATCACATGACAGTTTACTAATCGATCCGTTCATTTTAACCTTCCCAGGTCATCCATAACCATGGGGTTCACTCGCCTTGTGACGCTGTCTGTCACACTGATCCACCTAGTTTCAGGTAACAGTCTATGTGCGTGTTTGTGTGTGTGTGTGTGTGTGTGTGTGTGTGGTCTTAAATGTATGCATGCGTGTTGTTACAGCAGGTAAATGGTGGACTGGGATATTTTATTTCTTGCATATTTAGGAAATATAATGTATTTTCTCCCTTTTGCTGTAAATAGCAGCAGCAGCAACAACAACAACAACAAAAACTAACTGTGTGCCTCTTCCAGGGATGAGCTTTATGACTCCTGAGCCTGATACACCACCAACATCCCCCCCGGACTCCTACCCACTGGGCGACATGATCCATGCTGCCCTGCAGAGTAAGGAATACTTGGGACGTGCTTCTGCAGGCACAGGTACACTAATAATGCTGTTTATATAGTTTAATTAATGCAGCTATTGTAATTGTACATTGCAAATGACACACATTTAATCAAACTCTTGGACTCTGCAGGTACCACCACCAATCCGACTCAGGCTGCACCCGGGATGGGGCAGACTGAGTCAACAGCCACTGCCATGTCACCAGGGCTGCTGACAACAGCTTTAAGCTCCTCTTCAGCTGCTAGCCAAACAGGATCGAGGAATACCATGTCCCCGTTGCCCATAGAGGAGGAGACAACTACCACTCTGATTACCACGACCACCATAACCACAATGCACATGCCAGGTAATTGTGTTTTCCCATCTTCCCTCCCCTGAGTCTTGTTTGTTTTGCGATGTGATGATCCACAGCAACTGCAAGTTTCTACTGAATCCAATCACAACTTCAACTTCCCTGCTTCACTTTCAAGAAGATTTTGCCACACAAGGTAAATGTAAATATACTTTTTGTTTTTTTAAACAGTCTTTAGTGACTCAATGTTCATGCTTAAACTTTGGCATTTAACTAATAATAATGTAAAGCAATGCTATGACACATATTCAGATCCACAGATTTTTTTTATATATATAAGGAATTTTAGCTTAGTGCTAAAGAGAGAATATTTTTCCATTTTCAGTAACAATAGAAGTGCAGTCAATGCAGACATCTGTGCATGTTTCTGGTCTAATTCCTGCAGCAATACTGTGCTTCCTTTGTTTCTACATTTCAGGAATCGTGACACAAAGGAATCAGTGTATACACTGAATACTTGATGAAGAAGAGGCTGATGAAGTGTACTCCTACTTACCTGTTTGATGTTGAGAGTGCGACCACCTGTTGTCTCTGTCGCTCTTCAGTAATCCCAAAGCAAAGTAAAAACAGATTGGTTTACCAGCCCAGATTGTTTTCAGATGGGTTTTTTTTAGCCAGATCTATCAATAATATGCCTTCCATGGGCTTGTGTATCTTTGTATCTGATGGTTAGTATAGGAATGAATGACAGTGAAGAAAGGCTGGATAAACAGGCTGATCATCCTCTGTCTCAAAATCTGGAGAGATGCTCTTAGCCTGTTCCTAATTGAATCCTGGACAAAGATTTTCCTCCACTTAGCTCCGTCTTTGATGTACACTGATGATTCAAACTAATAAAAAATAAGCTTGAATATTGTAAAAAGGCACTCAGGTTTAAAAATAAAATCAAAATGCCTTTATTTTGAAGTAAAGAAGGTAGATTTAGGCTTAAATTTAGCTTTATTTTGCACAGGGAGTGCCTTGACATTTTTTTTATATTTAAGCACCTCAAATAGAAATGGGTTGAATCCAGGTAGTGCCCCTTCTCAAAAAAACATTTTTAAAGCTCATGTAATATTTATTATAATTATGTCATTCCCAAAGGATAACAGAGACCTTGTTGACTGGATCTGTGATTCTTTGAAAAAAAATAAGATGTGAAAGCTGCACACTGCAAATTAAATAAGTCATTTTTTGGTATTTAAATTGTTTAGTTACTCACTTTTGGCATGCATTAGATGATATGATAAACATTTAACACACACTCCTGTTTGTGCCATCGCAGGGATAGTGCCCACCTCAGTGACCCTCCACGCTCACAGTGTCACAGCTTCTCTATTCTGACACGAAGGCAAATAACACTCAGCCTGAGCAAATAAACTGTAAGCGTAATGTAGCAAACATAGAGCAACTCAGTGTGAAGGAGCATACATGATATTTTAGCTGATTTCTATTCTTTTTTTGCGTCTCGCAGGGAACTTCCCAGACAAGCCTCATTGAGACTTACACACAAAATAAACTTAGTGGCTCCTTAGTGGTTTACACAGTTGCCTGAAAAGTGAAAGAGCTACAGTTTGATGCTTGGGAGTCACAAGTCCTTTGGGCTGTATCAGGAAAGGCAGCTGATGTAAAAATCTGCCAAATATCTGCTCTCTATGGTGAACCCTTGTGAATAAGGGAGCAGCTGAAAGTAGCTTAACATTTTAATTTTAGTTTTGTTTAATAACTCCACAAAAACAGTTTATGCCTGGCAAGTCAGTTAATTACACTGAAAAAAAAAACCTCTAAATGTTTACGTCGGTACAAAGTACTTTGAGGATTATTCTTTATAGTATACAAAGGGGACTTGCATCTGGAAGGAGGTTATTGGTGTTGACTGTGTTCACTGTAACCAGACTAATCTTAATAATGAAGTCTTATTCTACTGTTTATCTTCTCATTGTTGATGCCAAAAAAATAAATAAATGCAATAAAAAGTAATTGGTGAGCATGGAAATAACTGAAAAAAGCAACCGTTAACCTTTAAATACTGGTAACAGCACCTGTAAGAAATCGTTGTCTCATGGCAAGCATGCTGATACAGGGTGGTGAAGAGTGCACCAACATCCTGTGCAAATGATAGTCAGAAATGCACTTCTGTGGGCTCCGGTGCCCGTGAGGCTCTTATTGGAGATGGATGAGATTCATACAGCAACAGCACAAACAAGAGTTGGGAAATTTGATTGAGCTGAAGGAGGGAGGTCAGCTGATTTACACCATATGTGGGAAGAGAAATGTCACAGAAGATGAACAATCTGCGAGACGTGTGTGTGTTTGTGTGTGTGTGAAAGACACAAAGAGAGAGTGTGTTTGTCACCTGCTTCCTCTCGGGGGTTTATTGCGTCTTTAGTGTTAATTGGGATTTCAGCCTTCTGTCAAACATCTCTCGAGGAGCCTGGCAAAGGTGTCAAACATGTTCATTGCTTATTGCAGCATTATCGCACATTTGAGCTTTCTGGGTAATGGGCTTATTTGCTTTCTGGTGTTGGCGAGTAATTGGAGATGTTTCAGTTTTAGAATAAATGTTACTAAGAAAAATATATGATTACATTCAAAAGGGGCTCCATTTGAATGTGCATAGCTGTAATTAACCTGAGTATGCCATCCCTGCAAACAGTCGACAAATCAGGTTGCTGTATAGTCCGACGGGAATACCTTTTAGTGGGCTTCAGCTGCCGCCTACAACTTTCCTGCTCAGTTCAAAACATTTGTCAGAAAAGTAATCAAAGAGTAACTAAATTAAATAAGTCATTGTAATAATTAGATTCATTTTTAAATGTTTCACTACTATTTGCACTTTAAACTAGTAATTTGTAACACATGTATTTCAGAAGTGACCTTCCCAAAACCGTCACTTTCTTGCTAAGAGTTGAGAATTACATTACATTAAGTATGAGGCTACATAAGAATGGCTGCATTAAACAAGGTGCCAAAAACCACATGCCGTCTTTTAGTGGGGTTTTTATAGTCCTTTACCCAGCGAGCAACCCCTTCTTTGTTTCTGTTCAGTCTTTGCCAAATAGATTGTGAAGCCTGTTTCCTCCCCAGAGATCATTTCTGCGTAAGTGGTCGTCAGTAATTTGATTTTACTGATGCGTAGCAGCGGTTTTTGTCAGTCAATAAAATAATTTAAGCCAAGGGAAACCAGCATATTATGTGTCACCCAAGCCAGTGCTTCACCACATTTGTTATTAATGTGAGTTAATATTTACTAAACCAGCTGATGTACTGTTGCTGATAACTTACACCACCTTATCATCCATTTCGCCTACTTTCAGACTCACATTTTACATCTTAAGAAGAGGAGTATTTTC